GGGTGGGGGGGGGGGGGTCAGGCTGTTGTAAGGCCATTACATACACACAGAATAAATGCACACAGACATCCATGCCTCAAATGGGATTCAAACCCACAACCCCAGTGATCAACGTCTCTTTCACCTAATATTGGATATATGTACAGTGCCTCAGTGCCCATAAATGCAGCAACAGTATTGGGTGGAGTAAACTTGCATACAAATACCTTAAAGACTACAGCACAAACCACGACGAGATAGGTCAGGGCAGATTTCACACACTCATATAGAACAGGTGAGAGATGTTCATACTTTCTCTCAGTTTCATTTTTGAAGATTTTTTATGTGGAGCTCTCAACTTTAATATAGAAATATGATAATTCAAATCTTTACACATTTCAACGGTGAATACGCTATCTTCCTAATGGGAAAACAAGACAACGAAATTTCATCCTGAATATAGGACAAAATACACACGTATAAGATTTTTAAGAAAATATATTGTAGGGTTTATGAAATGTGTATGATATGTATAGTCCTCATTTTCTTTGACCACTTCTATTATGATGTTTTAAGTAGTACGTATTATCACACTTCATTCTGACTTACTTTCCTTATTTTAAAAAAATAAAGCTATGCTTATGCAATCACCATGATGTCTGTGTATCGCCCTATTAACTTCTGAATGCCTGAACAAATCTTTATGAACCTTGGTATGTATATTATGGCACCTGAGCTCATCTCAAAGGCATACTACATATACTCTCCCAACTGACCACGCGTCTTGCCCAACATAGTAACTATGATAGTTTAAATATCTTCCCCTTTTATCATGGGGGTCGTGGGTAAGGAGACCCCTACAGGACAATGCCTACTGACCACATCGGCGTGTGAAGAACTTCATATATTGAAGTCTGTCTCAAGACATTTCTGAATGTGCTCCAGTCTGGAAGTAACAGCATTCATAAACATGAACTCACTCAGGATTTGTTCAGTTCTAATCTCGGCTATGGCAACTGCGACATTTCATGATTTTCCTAGTCCCCACCAGGCCAGTGCTAGGATAGTACGTCAATTAAGCCACAATTATTTCATTCCAACTCCTTCGCAATCAATTTCTCACTAATCATCATGCCATTTCACAAGATATAATCTGAATACTGAGAGCATCGTAAAGTGAACCACAAAAAAGAAATCATCTTCAGGGTCAGGATGCCATTGCTTCATTGCTGTCCTAATCTATATTTCATCTGACAAGGTTTTCACGTCATTCAATATGTTTTTTACAAAATAACTTCCTGGTTTGTTTACCAATTTGATTTTAGTGGACTTTCAGGAAAGAACAAACACCAGGACACAAGGTTGGCCTTAGTTTCTGCTAAGATGCCCAATATATAACCCCCAGATTCCAGTTCCTGCGCTCTGTCCAGCCCAAAATCTGCTCATGTATAAGTTCCCATAATGGAATGTTTTGATATTTATAATTTGATTACAGAAAATTTGGTGAAGACAAATTTAAAAAAATGGTTTTATTAGATGTGAAACACACAATGGAGCTGGGATAGCTCAGTCGGTATAGCAATGTGCTGTGGGCTGGATGGCCAGGGTTTGATTCCTGGCAGAGGCAAGAGATTTTTCTCTACTCCACAGTGTACAGACCAGCTCTAGGGTTCACCCAGCCTCCTATCCAATGGGTACTGGGGGCTCTTACACGGATAAAGCAGCCGAGGCGTGAAACTGACCATGCAGCTTCATCTACAGCCAAGATCAAGAATGGTGGAGCTATACCTCCATTCCCCCATATGTCTTCATGGCATGGTCTTTAATTAAGCACAGGGACAGCTTTATCCCAAACACACAAATACTGTGTCATTTTCATATAAATTAATGAGATTTGATATGTGCACAATGTGTCGATCTACAACCATCCAATTGATATTCAGCTAAACTGAATGGTATAAACCACACATTTGCTTCAGTATCAAGGCCACCATGTTTGTTTTGCCCAGTTATGATAGTAGGAGCCGATGTGACCCATCCATCACCTGATCAGCTTAGCATCCCTTCAGTTGCTGCTGTAACTGCCAGCCATGATCCAAACGCATTCAAGTACAACATCCAGATTAGATTACAACCTCCGAAGGTAGAGATCATTGAAGACTTGGAAAATATCATGCGGCAGCAGCTTCTGTTCTTTTATAGACACACGTCTGCTTGCACACCGGAGAGGATAATATTTTTTCGAGATGGTGTAACTGACGGACAGTTCGCACAGGTTTTGAAAAGCGAGGTGAATGCAATTCGATGTGCTTGTTTTTCTATGGGCCAAGAATATGAACCTAAAGTAACATTCCTGGTGGTGCAGAAACGTCACCACACCCGATTCTTTCCAAGAAGTGAGGATGCAGATGGGAGATATAAGAACGTTCCACCCGGTACAGTGGTTGATCGTGAAGTTACTCACCCGACTGAAGTGGACTTTTATCTGGTTAGCCATTCCAGCATCCAGGGTGTTAGCAGACCTACAAAGTATCATTTATTGTGGAATGATGATGACAGTATGACAGAATATGAAATTGAAAAGATTGCATACTACTTAAGTCATGTGTTCTCACGTTGTACACGCAGTGTGTCCTATCCAGCACCAACATATTATGCACATCTTGCTGCTAAGAGGGCTCGTGTGTACCTGGAGGGAGAGAACATTAAGCTGTCTGATCTACAAAGTCAGCAACATATATGTGCTGTCTTGAAAGAAATTGTTTCAGACCATCCCATGTTTTTTGTATAAAACTTCAGCTGGCATAAGGAAATCAGGTGCAATAGTTCCAAGAGTCGTCAGTTCCACTGTTAGTAGCCACTATCAAGAAACGACTAGTGACATGACTAGTAATGAAAGAATGAAAAACAGAAGACTTTGTGTGCCATAGTTTTAGTTAGTTTTGTCACCAAACCCCTTGAGACTCACAACCTGAGATATATTTCTTCAATTGAACCTTTGCAGTTATAGTCCTCATGTAACATCTTCTCTCCTGAGAGGATGGGTATGTCTCTTATGAACATGCTTGGCCTTTTGTCAAGCGTACATATCGCACATATAGCATGTCACTGAAAATTCTTCCTTTTGCATTACACACAAGTCCTCAGTCTAGGCTTTGCAAAACAGAACATGCCTATTCTACATCAACGGTTATAAGCTTGACCACCGCCAAGTTAAGCCTCTTATATTTTTTATGTCTGGTTTCGCCTTGTCCTATGCTGTGACCATGTTCATTCTCACGATTTTGTATGACTTCTTCATGCTGCCTGCACAATTTTGTTATACAATAATATGGCGCACACAGAAGGTTGAAAACTGTGTGCAAATCACAGAATGGTGTGCATCTTGGAAAATTTCCAATAGCATGGGAAACCTTGTCTTGTAGGAGCTGTAATTTCAAGAGGTTGGTGTGAGCCGCTAATTCCCAGCCGAGGCAAGCTGAAGTCTTTATTCATCCGATCAGTACCTTATGAAGGGTTAGTTTAATGCTGGTGCTTAAACACTCATTTTTTAAGAGGAAGTCAATTCTATTAAATGTTTGGAAGGCTTTGGCTTCAATCATTTCTATGTGCAGTCTTCCTGTAAACCTCTTAGATTACACGGAAATATTTCACCTGATTGGTGAAGGGGCTGTTCTGTCCATTTGATGAAAGATAAGCCTCAGGGAACGTAAGTACATGAGAAAAGTAGATGGCCTGAGTCTTATGATCATTGATTTTTATGTTCGAGTGCTCACACCTTGTCGCAGTAGCACTGAAACCTCGCTGCATCTTTCTGAGAACGTAACACTCCCTGCAGTCAGTCATATATACAGGGTGTCGTCAGCAAAGAGACTTAGATAGACACCAGGTGTTTGAGGTATATCATTTATAAATATGCTGTACAATGTGGGGGACAGGATGGAACCTTATGGCACCCCTGCTTGTATATCCCTTGGCACAGACATTTCACCTTCAAAATTCTGAATTTCGTCTGAAAAAGAAGAGCTAATAAGCTTGATTAGGCTGATCAAAAATTTTAATTCCGACAATTTACATAGCAAGCCAAGGTGTCATGTTGTATCAAATGCTTTCTCAATATCCAAGAATACTGTGGCCATAGACGTGTTGTTGATGAAATTTAAGATGACATGGTCCATAAGCCTCATACTTTGAAGGGTGCTGTGACAGGCACAGAAACCAAACATGTTTGCATTAAGCAGGCTTCTTTCTTTAAGGTGCCTTTGAACAATTTTTAGAATAACTTTATCAAATAGCTTAGGAATAAACTGATATCGAAACTCCAAAACATGATCGGAAATCTAAACCCACTAACTGTCATAGTAAAAAATATCCTGGCATACAACCAAATCACCATAGATGATGCGATCTGCAAAACAAAAGAAATCACCCAAACCAACGGAGTACTACAAGGGGACCCCCTCAGCCCCATATTATTCAATATTGCCACAGCGGATTTAATAGCAGTAATACGAGAAAAGTCGAAAGATGCAGTGATATNGGACGTTCAGATTACACATCAAAGACAAAGCACTGGCAGCCATGAAAGCCATGTATGACATTAACAATTTACATCATCTATCCTTAAAGACAGCTATGAGTCTATTCGACACAAAAATCCTACCAATACTCACTTACGAGATTCACCTGATATGGGAAAAACTGTCGAAAAAAGATCTGGCCAACATCGAGGGAGTGAAAGCAAAATTCCTGAAAACCATAATGGGCATTTCAAAATACACGCGCTCCCGCCTAACATATGAATTGACATGGGAGCCCTTCCTCATCGAAGAGCTGAGGATAAAGCTACAGCTGCCATCCACAAAGAATGTAGAAGCACACCTAGCGGAGAGAAGGAAGAAAAGAGAAGAAATACCTCTAGATTTCTACAGCACGGATGCCATGTTGAACTGGAACTGGACCAACGCCAACCAGAGACTAAGACATGTGGTGATAAAACTAGCAGTGCATGGGTTCCACCATAAAATATGTAAAAACATGTCTTATCACGACCCAAGCGAAAACTGCGTGTGCTCGTTATGTGATCAGTTCTGCGATGTATACCACATCACAAGATGTAAAAACAACCATAAATCTCTGTGTGATTATAGTAAAGGCTAAAACCCAGAATCTATGTAATGCACATTCGTGCGCTTTTCTGTTAATAATTTATCAAATAGCTTGCTTGTTGCAGACAAGAGGCTAATTGGATGTAAATTTTGAGGAAATTCTGGGTCCCTATTGGGTTTCGGTAACATAACTTTTGCTTCCTTCCAAGGCTTTGGAAAATGGGACAGCCAAACAAAGTGATTAAATGAATGGTGTCAGATGTACTAACTGTCTTCTTCGAAGATGCCTAAGGCATTCATTTAGAATACCTCAAGTCCACATGTCTTTCTCAATTTCAATGATTTTGCTAATTTATGTAACTCACATGGTCCTACTTTTCCAAACGGGGTATCATCTACAGATGTGAGTAGAGCTTGGGACTCTAGTCTCCACCTGTTGCTTAGTATTAAGATTGTTGTAATTTAATGATGTATATTAGCTGAATGACTTGTCCTATATCATTGTATCATGATCTACATGATTAACAAATGAATAAGTGAATGCTCATGGTTTTCAACACACAGGTCATGACATGAGCAGGTTTTCTAAACATACCGCAATCACAATTTTCCACAGGATAGTAATGAGTGGGGCATTCTGGTGCTGAAATTTCAAACTAATTTAATCCCTCAATGTCATGAAGTTATAGGGATGAAGCTAATGTGAACAATTTTTAATGAAGGTTTTAGAATGTCTGAGAATAGCAGAGTTAAAATCTACAAATTTTAAAACTTAAAGGATTTCTTACAAAGACACCCCCGTTTCATTCAAATTTAAATCTGGTGTGATACTTCATTCGGTGCAAATCACACAGAACTTCTGATTAAAGGGTCACTGAAGAAAATATTATCTCATTCTGGCAGTTTTAAGAATAAATCAGCAAATTCAGTGAACTGATAACTGTAACTAGGATGATCTCCACAGCCGCATGAGAATGTACTCTCGACAGGATTTATGGAAGGTGAATAAATGAAATAAATAACTTATGTCACTTGAATAGATCTCCATGAAAGTATTCCTGGAATTCAGCAAAGTCAACCTACGTTTTCAAATATGACATGATCATTTGGTCTTTATTCCTTACGTTTATTAGAAATAATTTTCATACAAGGAATGTGAAGATGAGATATAAATTTTCTCACTTTTGGACTGCTTCTCTTCTATTGTTGCTTCCAACATGTTGACAATATCTGCCTCCGTAACTTCTGTTTCTTTCTGAGGAAGAATTCCTTTGCTCCGAAGGATATCATTCCACTCAGTATCCTCATCTGGATTCTGGAAAGAGATCAAGGTTATGTACTTTTAATGAATTCAAGGCATGTTTGTAAGCGATAAAAATGTGAACATAATTATGCTGCAGGAGCAAAGCAAGCAGTCACACCAAAGCCATACCAGCAAACTAATCCAAACATTTGAAATATAAGGAACAACAATGAAAGCAAAATGACAGATGTAATGAAACTTTAAGAAAATACTTAACACGGTAAAAGGTAATGCTATCCCTGTAACAGGACATGGAGACACACAGGGCTGTGAGACATCAAGGCTCCCACATTTTCTAGACAATTGGCTCACACAGATGACAGTGGGGTTGTCAGCCTTACTTGATGGCCACCCTATACTCCCATGAAGATTCCTGGTACTCATTTCTGTTAGAGGCTGGGTCCACCCCAGGGCCACAGTGCGGGTAGAAGGTTTAGGTCAACTGAAAAATCCGATGACCTCACTGGGAATTGAACCCCCTACCTTCCGGCTTGTAGCATAGTGCCTCAAACAACTACGATGCCCCCTCGTTACTTTTTTCAGAAGCAATATGCAAACCACTCATAGTTTAAACGTGAACGATAAAATGAAATACGATATTTAGCACTTCGTTACTTTTTTCAGAAGCAATAATAATTTTAAATTGACATTGGTTTTAAATTATATTATTCTTGAACAAGGGACTCGCTTATTCCCGTACGACATGCAGCGGTGCTGAAAAATAATTATTAATCGACAGTGAACGCAAGGACAGGTAAGGTGTTTAATCATTACACCTTCCCGGCTAGCAAAATTTGGTCACCTCTAGCAGAATGAATCATACCTGCATATTGTAACGTTTCCGCCTGTAATATTAACAACACTGGAAACAGGAAAACAAAATTTTCGTTTGCACTTTAATTATTCGCCCACTTTTCTTCCACTCTCTACACGCTCTACACCTCTACACGAACTAATTACTGCCACGTGACCACCATTCACAACGTTCACAACTCAACAGCGACCAACTACCGTCCCGAACGATCGCAGTAGCGGCAGTAGCCATTGAGAACATTGGGAATAATTGCAGTACCTGTCGGTACCCGCTGTCCCCTTTTAAGTGCAATTGGAATGAAATAGCATATGATCAGTTTTGTAGGTTAGGAACGTTTGGATTTTATTGGATTTTCATTTCACAAGTTACGAATATGTCAAATTCAGTATTAACGACTAAATATTGAACACACTGAACCGTACATTTAATAGCGTGTTGTCTCCTAACTATAACCACAATGGTGCTTATACTAAGAAATATAGTAAGAAGCAGTGCAGCTCCCTTCAAAAGGTACGGGTTAGACAGCTGTATCACTCCCTAGCAGCTTCTTTGGTATTTGTGGGTGTATGATATTAGGTGCGCCTGTTAATGCACAAAAGAACAGTAAAAGGACCACTTCTAGACTATGGTCATCATGGGCATCCGTAAGTCCGCGCATGAATGACAAATTGTAATTTGGGCAAAAGGATTTCAAGAATGATGTATTTAATAATGTGACTTGTTCAAGTGTTACTGTTGTAGCAATTATGAATGCCAAATAAATTGAACGAATGAGTGAAAGTACGCATAACAAACAACCTAACCCAAAACACCGGTAGTGGGGACTGCATTCTAGACTTGAATCCAATAGCACAACTTATGCAGACGTGTCTTATTAATTAGATTTCCCTGTGTAAAGTTCTATGATAATTTCATAACCTAGTTGAGTTCCCAACATTCAAGCTTTTTTAACAGTGAAGGATGTTAGGAGTGTGATCTTCAGGATTGTGTTCTCAGATGGCTTGGAGAGAGACCAGTGTTTCAGAGGAACGTAGCTGATGAGTAAGGCAAACAAGGAACTGACAGAAGCTGGGCAAAATGAAGGAGATAGATTTCTGAAACAAAACTAAGCCAGTAAGGAGCATATCATAAAGTGCCCTGAAACATGATCTTATTTGTTGTACCTCATATTGTAGTTGAAATGGACTGGGAGACTTGTCATATTTTATTTGCACTTCTTCAGTCAAGTAATCATGCTTGCAAAAAATAATATATTTATTGTATTATGTTTCTAGACTAAATACAAACTGTCCTGACCTCATTTGGTATTAATGAGATTCAGAACTTTGTCTAGTTTCACATATTCTGAAAGACAACATTTTGGTAGCTGGATTTGTTTCTATTCTCACGTGAAAAGGTGGGGAGGCACCTGTCCTTGTGGGTCCATTAAAAAGAATCATCAAAATACTTTAGATTAACACTCCAAGAGTAGTAGGTACCTCCTGTCCTTTTCACCCCAGGACAAAAAGAGATTCAGATTATGGAACAATGTGTTCTTTTATAATACTAAATGATGGACAGAGTCCAGAAATTCAGTAATCCCATAAAAACCCTTTTGAACTTCCCTACTGTAATCTTGTGGCTATGATAATAGTGGTTAGTGCAAAACCTGTTTTACAAATTGTCAGGAGTGTCATATGATGCAGTAAAAAGGGGCCAACAAATGTAATAGTTCCAGAATATGTGACAAGTGGAGGTTGACTGTGCAATAGTGGAAATGGACTTTTAGGTATGTCCATGATTTCTGCCTTCAAAGGCAGACTGGTAACTCAGAAATGAAGAGTAGACAGATGAGAATCAAACTGCAGGTGATTTAGTTGGAGAGACACAGGGAAAGAAGATATTACAGACTTGAGGTAGTCCATATATATGCCTAAAGGGTAAGCTCCACTTTGTGAGCACCTTGAGCCAAATTTCAGGGAAGTGTCACTGTCACTACTCTCATTCTGGTTTGAGCCATCCAAGTCAGTGCTCAGAATAAACAATTATTTGCCATTATTTTCAGTATGGACAGGAAGTTAACTTCTGAGACATAATTTGTAGGACATATTGTCAGAAGGTTCTTATTGTGCTATCTCCATGTTATTAGATCTGTTTCAAATTAGCTAATGTGCATTAGGTAGAAAGGTTTGGTTTGTGGGGTATTTAACGATGATGTATGAACTTCAGTGGTTATTTAGGTGCGGAGGAGGATGATTATGTACAATAAGTTGGTGTAGATGGTGCAGGTCATGATAGCTTGTATCATTTGCTTGGACAGACGAAGAGAGAACATGTTTTTCCTAAGGATAATTAGTGGACTACGCCAAAATATGAACTGGACTCTTCTGATGTGTAAGTCAGGCACATTGTTACTAGATGTTAGTACTTTGGTCAGATAAAATGGATTGACAAACTTGTGAAGAGTGACAGCCGACTTTTACAGTCTGGAATATTCTGTGTTCATTCATGGTTTACTCAAGACAGTACAGTGCAAGTGAACATGAATAATAACCCCCTCATATAACATTCACAGTGCAGTGATAATTGATTTTGACAATTAAAAATGCCATTATACTTTACTTTAAAATTAAACCTTCAGGTTCCATAAAGTGTTGAGAAATTCTTAGTGAGCTGAGAAACTATTAGCGATGTTGTTTATTGTGACAACTTAATTGCACAGCACTCTTCTTTGTTTCACTGTTTGGTAATTCGTGTTCTTGTGTTAGGTTCTATAAGGATAGCTGGCCTGTAGTCTCAGTGCGAGGTCACAGCTATGATCCTGATGGGAAGACAACAGTTCAGATACTGAACAAGAATGTAGAAGTGTTGATGATTGACTCTTACAGTCAGGTAACAACTTTGTAACTAAGTAATTATGCAAATATAAGATCTTATCATGCTGCAGCTTCTGAAGTGATTTAAATGGTATGCATTCAGTTGTACTCCGAGGATTATCAGCTGTTCTGGTATTATTTGCAGCTTGGATTCCGACTCAATAATGGAATGTATGTGATGGGACCCATGGCCATATTTCCTCATACAGTCCTGAGCTGGAATGTGAGCCACGTGGATGCAATTAGTGAAGATTCTCTCACACTCTTCTCTCTGCTTGAGCCTAAAATTGGTAAGAAAATATTTTAAGGAGCTGTGTTATTTTTGTGGGTTTTTATAGACATCAGATTATCAGTGATATGCTATATGTGTCAGGTGATATTAGAAGCTGGGACCATTCATTGACCCTTGTAATGATGTTTTGCTGCAGTCACTAGGCCAGTAAAATTTATGAGAATCTCTCTGAAGTGGCATTATATCTGGATGATGATCTGTCTTCATGGCAGAAAGAAAAGTCTGACTTAGTATTTTGAATAGTTGTCATACGGTGTAGAATGTTAACATCACTCTTTAATCCGCAAAGCATTGATACATATGAAATCTGGATAACCCCCATAGTTCACTGTCTTCATCCACCATTCTGAATTCAAATTCTATGGGCTAATAGAGCATCACTACCTTTATATTTCTAAGAACACAGATTACTGCTTTCCTTCATTGACAGTTTGTGACTGACCAATTCATTACCAATTCACAACTTTTCCTGCCAAACAGAATACCTTGGTTCATAATATAGGCATCCTCCTTGGCATAGTAGCATGCTTTCATTGGGCAGAAGACGTGTTACTCCACGTAATATTTAGCTTAATAGTGTAAGCCTAAATAGAATCAAAGCCAGTGATTATTTCTAGCTTGATAATAAATCTCATCTCCTCCTCTTCTTCTACATGCATTTTGTCACGTCATTACCACAGAACTGTAACCGTCAGTGCTGAGAATTAAACAGGTGTAAATCAAAGTACACTCAGAGCATGCAGGCAACTGTACACCCTTTCACAATATTATGGCTAACAGAGCTATCAGCAATCAAACCTGTAAGTGAAGAGTTCTGTATCATTGTTGACTTCTTTTTTTAAGATCATTGAAAAACTCATATATGCGAGACTTATTACTCATATTGAAGCAAATAATCTGTTTTTTAAATTCGCTTAGTGGGGGGTGGAGTCCAACTGGGTCCACTCGGCACGGCAGCCACTGATTAGCCTATTGTAGCCTGCCCCGGGTGATTATGATTATGGAAAATTTGGTGGAATGAAGATTGGCAGAGGAAACCGAAGTACTCGGAGAAAACCCGCCCCAGTGCCACTTTGTCCACCACAAATCCCACTTGACCAGACCCGGGCTGCCGGGGTGGGTAGCCAGCGACTAACCACTTCAGCTATGGCGTGGCCAAATAATGTGTTGGTACATGAACAATATGGTTTTAGGACACACTCCTTGACTGAGAAGGCAGCTATTACATTGATAAATAATATTTTAACTGCAATGAATAATAAGTTGATGGTGGGAGGGCATTTTTTATGATTTACAAAAGGCGTTTGATTGTGTTAACCATAAAATATTGGATAAATTGGAATTCTATGGAACTGAAGGAAAATTCAAGACACTTATAGGATCTTATTTGACAGGTAGATATCAAAGAGTTGTATTGGGTAATAGAATTGGCAGTAACAACTCGTCCAAATGGGAAACAATTGAATGCGGTGTTCCACAGGGCTCAATTCTTGGTCCCTTGTTTTTCAGCAGCTGGGACTATGAAGAATTCTGCATTTTTAATTAAAAGACTGCAGTGTCTACTGTCATTCTGGCACATGATGCTAGATACTAGTACGTATAATGCCACTGAAAATTCAATGGGAAGTCACTTCATCTGTTATTTTAACTTCCATACCTTTATCACCTTCTCTCCTTTCCGGTCCATTTTATTTTTCCTATCATCATTCATCATTCGATATGTAATGAGATTATGGAATTTCAAAGAACAGGCCGTTATGATTTGATGTACATGAAGACAAAAGAACTAGGATGGAAAGAGAATCATGGGATTCAAAATGTTGGCATCGAAGACTCCCAGGGGAATAGAATAGTAGATCAGAGGCAAGTGCTGAAAATTTGGGAAAATTATATTTCAGAACTATATGATCGACCTAATCGGCCAGAAACCTTAGAAGTTGAACCGGAAGAAGAAGTAGATACAGACGAGAAAGGACCATATATTTTACAAAGTGAGGTGGAAAAAGCTATCAAGGAAATGAGGAAGGGAAAGGCTACAGGAGATGATGATGTACCTGGAGATGTGCTCAAGTTACTGGGAGAAGGTGGTTTGAAAACACTGACAAAACTAATGAACACCATATATGAAAGTGGAGAGTGGCCCAAGGACTTTACAGAAGTTACAATGATTGCCTTAAAGAAAAAGACAAAAGCTACAAAATGCAGCGACCATCGCACAATAAGTCTTATTGCACATACAGCAAAGATAATAGCAAAGATACTTAAAAGAAGAATTGAAAGGAAAATAGAGGATGTACTTGGAGAAGATCAGTTTGGATTTAGAAGAGGAAAAGGAACCAGGGATGCAATTGGGATGATGAGAATTATAGCGGAACGAACTTTGGAGATAGATGAAGAACTGTGTGTTTGCTTCATAGACTGGCAGAAGGCATTTGACCGGGTAAACTGGACCAAATTAATGCAGATCCTGAAAGAAACAGGTATCGATTGGCATGAAAGAAGATTGATTAGCAAATTGTACATGGATCAGAAAGTTAGAGTACGACTGGACAGGGGGGAGACAGGAAGTGTGCAGATTGGAAGAGGAGTTCGACAAGGATGCTGTTTATCACCAATTCTGTTCAACTTGTACAGCGAATGCCTTACCAAGGAAGCTCTGGATGGGCTCGGTGACTTCAAAGTAGGAGGGCAAATTATTCAAACTGTGAAATATGCAGATGACCTTGTGTTAATGGCTAAGGAAGAAACTGTGCTACAGGGCATGATTGATAGACTAATTGAAATTGGAAGGTGCTATGGCATGGAAATGAATGTGGAGAAAACAAAAGTAATGAAAATTTCGAGACAACCAACCCCAGTCACAATAAAGATAGACCAAAAACAAGTGGAGAATGTGAAATGTTTTAAATATTTGGGTAGCTTGTTAACAGATGATGGAAGGTGTACTTGTGAAATTAAATCCAGGATTGCCATGGCAAAAGCTGCATTTAGCAAGAAGAAGAATCTTTTTACCAGCAAATTGGACTTAAATTTGAGGAAGAAACTAGTGAAATGCTACATTTGGAGCATAGCTCTGTATGGGGCTGAAACATGGACACTTAGGGCAGTAGATCAGAAACATCTGGAAAGTTTCGAAATGTGGTGTTGGAGAAGAATGGAGAAGATCAGTTGGACCGATTATGTGAGAAATGAAGAAGTGTTAATTAGAGTCAGTGAGCAGAGGAATATCCTACATGAAATAAGAAAACGGAAGGCTAATTGGATTGGTCATGTTTTACGCAGAAACTGCCTTCTAAAAGAAGCTATCGAAGGAAAGATAGATGGGCGGATAGAAGTGACAAGAAGACGAGGAAGAAGACGTAAGAAGATGCTGGATGACCTTGGGGACAGAAGAGGATACTGTCATTTGAAGGAGAAAGCTCTAGATCGCATTAAGTGGAGGAATTGTTTTGAAAGAGACTGTGGACCTGTCGTCTTGACAGATTACTGATGATGATGATGATCATCATCATCATTCACCTCCCCTTCCTTCATCCATCACCTGTGCCTTGATGTGTTGCTTGCTTTGAGTCATAATATACAGTAAATGTTCTATGATAGATCACTTGTGCATTTTGTTTACATGGAAACAGTATGAGAACATTCTTGAATTGTTGCGTCCTGTTTGTGCATACAAATAAATATAAATTATAGTGCCAGTATAAAACATTTTTTTCACTAGTTACAATTGGTCAGATCTGACATAATACTAAATATACTTTATATTTTAAATTAAGACTTGAAAACTGTGTTGAAGCACTGTAGAGAGAAGACACTTATGACAAGTGATTGGGAAGCTGGTCTGGCAGTGGTCAGATCTTCAGTTATTGTGCAGCATTTGTGTTAATTCGTTTTGTAGAGGTTTTCTTCTAGTTGGACATTTTGTCTGCTATTGTTTTGGGGTGGGCTGGGGTGTGGAATGAAATGTGTGGAGCATCTCACTGTGGTGGTGGAAGTTTGTGCTGGTGTGGTGCATGTTTTGTATTAGCACTGTAATTTATATGTAGTCATTCACCATTTGTGTATTTCCTCAAGAATCACCTGATTGTGGCCTGTCTAGGCTGAAACGTATTTTGAATTGATAAATAAAAAAATGTGTGATGGCAACACCTTCATTTTTATGGGAACAATGCAGTGACAGACTGACAAATGCTGCCCTGTTTAAAATGAGTTTCTGTATTGGCTCCAGTTCAGTATTATTAGTTTAATAGTTTATTTAGAGATGATGTGGCAGGCTCCATTGTGCAGTGAAAATAAAGACGCAGCATCTTCACGCCGCCCTCATATCCCCTATGAAAAGTGGGTATTTTTCTGAGAAAGCTGTTGGAATTTCTGGTATATGAGTTGATCCTTAGGACACTTGGAACCTTGTGCCGAGGGTTTCGTTAACATTTTAAAAAATGTATACAGGTTTGTGTCAAATTTCATTATGAGGTATACAGTTAAATAGAAATTCTGGGAGATTTTCTTCTAAATTTTCTGTGGTATGTTACAAGAGACTTCTACTAAATATGGGTTTCAACACTGCTTCATCTTTAGTAACAGAAATACATACCTCTCTTACACAGTGCATATTCAGACATGCAAGGGAGCATGATGAACAGACATACCATATGTGAAATTGCTTTATCCAGTGGGCAAAGTGGGCAGCTGCCCAGGGCCCACACCATGTGCTTGAACCTTCCCAATATTGAAGCCAGAATTAACTTCCATTCAAGTCTGCAGCAAAAAATGAAAGTAGACTTATGAGATCACTTTACTGTCTGTATATCCCTGTCAACTTCTGAATGCCTGAGCCCATTTTGATATGGTACTTCATAAATCTCTCCCATCAGTCTGTTTCTGTATGTATATCCCCTGATCATTGCTAAGCAGTGCACGGTAAACATGTTCCCACAGCAAAGAATACACACAACAACAGAAGAACTGTTGGATGCGTCTTTTTCCTTGTGTTCCATATCATATCAGAAGAGTCTGTATATCTCCCTACTGTTGCTAGGCAGTTCACATTGTATCAAAGGAAAGTATGCGATTAGTTCTTCCCAGAACATCTTTCTTTTTAGGTTATATGTATCTAATCTTTTCCTGCCCTTGTCACTCTTCTTAATATAAATTTTGTATTGGTAGTAAACTATAGTCATTTAAAAAAGTGTAGAGAGGAGTGGTGCTAAGATCATTCTGTGCCCAGGACCCAGCTTTGCCTTTGAGCAGCGCACATGCATTCAACGTATCTATATTTATTCATCCTTTCAGGCTCAGACATTTCAGCTGTATAGTGAGCTGTTTCTGTCAGATTGTTGCAGTTGTTCATATGACAGTGTGTGAATTTTCAGATATTCTTGTTCTGGGGATAGGAGATGTGAGGAATAGCCCAAAGCTGAACAAGTGTGTGCATTCCTTCATGGCAAATCATCGCATCAGTATCGAAGTATTAACCACACAGCAGGCCTGTGCAACATTCAACTTTCTGAATTCTGAGAGCAGATACATTGCAGGGGCCCTCATCCCACCCCTCACACTCCAGCCTACTGAGGATGATGTGATTATGTCTAAAAAGAGATATAACATGTTGTATGGATCTGGTGAGGGTTTGTAAATGATAGTGGAAGTGGTTATGTCATATAGTTTTCATGTCAAGAGTGAGTCTTAAATATTACCCATCTTTGTATATGTCCATCTGTAAAATTTTAATGCAGTGGAACCTCGCTTAATGGGTAATTTGCATAATGAGCAAAAAAAAAACTGTAAAAAAATGAATTGCTTAACGAGCGATGTTTCACATAACGAGTGATGAGAGGAGAAGTCCCGGATTTTGCGTTTGCTACATCAGTCTGTGTTTAGCATTCGTTCTGCTAGCATCTTAATGTCGCTTGTGATCACAGATTTTTCCAAACTTTTGTTCAGACATATTATTTGTGATTTTTTTTGTGCAAAGTTTAATACCCTTGCAAAAATGTCCCCGAAGAAAAAGCCGCAAAAAGATAGCCATAAGAGAATAAAAATAACCATAGAAATGAAATGTAAAATCATTGAAAAGCGAGAACGAGGTGTGAGCGTGGCTGATCTAGCACGCACATACAGTCGGTATACATCAACGATTTGCACTATCCTCAAGAACAAGGACAAGATTAAGGAGATAGATGCTTCAAATGGAGTGACAAGAATATCTACACAATGGTTACAAATTCTCGACAATGTTGAAAGGTTGTAGATGAAATGATTGGGGATCATCAGTGCGGGTTTCGATGTAACAGATCCACTACAGATCAGATCTTTTGCATTCATCAGATATTGGAGAAAAAATGGGAGTACGATGAGACAGTACATCAGCTATTCATAGACTTCAAGAAAGCCTATGACTCAGGAGGGAAGTATTGTACAATATTCTGAGTTTGGGATACCCATGAAACTAGTTAGGTTGATTAAAATGTGTTTAAACGAAACGTATAGTAAAGTCTGTGTAGGTAAACATTTGTCTGATAAATTTCCTATCCAGAATGTCCTAAAACACTTTATTGCTTTATTACCACTCCTTTTCAACTTTGCTCTAGAATATGCCATTAGGAACGTCCAGGGACCAGGTGAGACTGAAATTAAACAGGACATATCAGCTGTTGGCCTATGTCGATGATGTGAATCTGTTGGGTGATAATGTAGATACCATAAAGAAAAACGGGGGCACGTGGTAGCATAGTGATTGAGGAGCTATGCTACAAGCCGGAAGGTCGCAGGTTCAAGTCCCGATGAAGTCATTGGATTTTTTTCAGTTGACCTAATCCTTCCAGTCGCACTAGGCCCTGGGGTTTACTCAGCCTCTAACAGAAATGAGTACCAGGAATTAATTAAATAATTCTCCTGGGGAGTAAAGCACGGCCGGCGTGTAGGGCTGACAACCTTACCGCCATCTTTGAGCCGATTGTCTAGACAATGTGGGACCCTCAACGTCTCACAACCCTACGGTTCTTCATGGCCTGGTACTGGGATAGCTTTACTTTTTTTACTTTTTTACCATAAAGAAAAACACACAAACTTTAAATGATGCAAGAAAAGAGGTTGGTCTAGAAGTGAACACTGAGAAAACTAAGTGTTGCTGTCTCGTCACCAAAATGCAGGGTAAAATCATGATATAAAGATAGGAACAGATGTTTTGAAAATTTGGCACAATTCAGATATTTGGGAACAACGATAACAGATCAAAACCTGATTCAGGAGGAAATTAAGAGGAGATTGAACTTTGGTAATGCTTGCTACCATTCAGTCCAGAACCTTTTGTCTTCTCGTCTGCTGTCCAAAAACATAAAAATTAGAATATACAAAACTATAATTTTGCCTGTGGTTCTGTATGGGTGTGAAACTTGGTTTGACATTAAGGGAGGAAGATAGACTGAGGGTGTTAAGGAGAATATTTGGACCGAAGAGAGATGAAGTGACAGGAGATTCGAGAAAACTGCATAACAAGAATGTGGTGCAGTGAATGCCAACCCCCGGTAATATGTTAACATAGTATTAACTTTTTGTATTTTAGGAAAAAAATATTGGTTGGAATAGATTTAGTCTTGGGAAATACTTGTACGAGGTACGAAAGCGGATGTAAGAAAGGTTAAACAACTTAAAGGAATTTCTGCGTATGGATTTAGACGGACATTGGCCTGCCACGCGGGAATGTCCAGTCAGCAGAATGACGTTGAATGTATATCGAACTGCTAACTACAGAATTTACACTTGTGTGATGGGGGGACGTTTGGAGGTATAAGTGTCAGCCAAACAGTTAAGCAGTAGAAGGGGGTGTGTCCCCTTAGGATCCCAGCCAACGAGATCACCCACCTTGGGATAAGACGTCATTGGAGGCGGACTTACACCCTCCGGGAAAATAATGAGTAAGCATACATATGGGGTATATAACCCAGAGACCA